TATATATATATATATATATGTATAAGCAAAGAAAATATACATAAATATTGAAATTATTAATGCATTACGTGTGGCTATTATGTTAAATATAAGTAATCGAGATAAATGTTTCTCTTTGAGCTAGCAACGGATTTAATCATAGACGGAAGTACTTATACTCCGAACAAGGATACCTTGCCAATAGCTATAGTATATACGCGTTTCAAGGGGCTAACGTACTCGTGTATGACTCGAAGGCTAACCGGAGTTTCAGTGCTTACCTTAGGATAGTGAATTGGTATAGCTGACGTGTATTGGAAAGTCAAACTTCCTGGATATCCATAAAATGGTATGTTCATGACCGGCGTCAAGGTATCATTGAAGTATCCAAAAGCCAGTTTCGAGCCGTTAGGTGAAAACCATAACGCTTTGTTAGAGCTGAATACTTCCTCTGAAAAAAAAAAATGAAAAGATTTATATGCGTCGATAAGTTAAAATGTTGTATTTCAAGTTTTAAATAATCAATAAAAAATTTTTATTACACTATAAATTTTAATTATTTGCTCGAATTTATTGTTAAGGAGTAAGAGATTTATAATATAACGCATGTGACAGAAGAAATTAACCAGCAACTGGAGACGATCTCCCCGCAATATTTGTTGAATTTCTTACAACTATCCTGAAATGATTTTAAACAATTTAAATAAATATCGTTATCAAACGGATCATCGTGTTAAATCTGTCGAGAGTTGCTACATCAAATCGAGTGGTAACCAAAAATAACCTCTCGAGTACAAAGTGTTAATCATGATAAGAGGTACAGCATTACGACAGTTTTTATTTTATCCGACTGGTTACATTCGCAGGGCCGTATTATTGACCGTTTTCCAGCACGGAAACTTTATCGAGGTCAAAAAGTTTCCGTCTTGCTTTTCGTTTCGTGTTTCAATGGAACGTGGATTACACATCGTTTTCTTTTTTTCTTTTTTGTAAGTAAAACGTTGCAACGAGTTCTACGTCCTATTATCTGACTTTTTGGCTTTCTTCCTTTTCTTTATAAATAAATTTTCTGTTATATAATTTCATGTTTGAAATAAATTATGGAAGATTTAAAATATACGTAATTACGGAAGATTTAAAATATAAGATCATTTAAATGTGTTTCATACGAATTCTTATTTGCGCACTTAAATATGTATTCTTATATAGTGTATGTAATAGAAAATGTTGAAAACTAAGTAAAATGAAACTATTATATATAATAACTTTTGTTGTATTCTTTCGACAAACTGTTCTTCGACAAAGGCTTTATAAATCGGGTATGTTATTTTATTCGTGTTAACTTTAAAACGCTAGAGAAACTAACTTTAATTAATTTTCCACATTTCTCAAAGGGTTTGAGAAAGTACAGCAATGTGTAACAAACGATAGTTCGATTTAAATTCTTCCTCGACTTGTTTGAAAATTCAAGAATTTTATTTCAGAACGTAAAAGTTCTAAACAAAAATAATGGAATTAAATTGTATTAAAAAAAGAACCTATTAAAAATTTATTGAAATGCATTTTTCGATATGGTTTAAGTATAATTATATTCTCAATAATATAAATCATTTTAAACTTATAATATTTGTAGGGAAAGTATTTTTTTCTTATTTCTGTTTTGTTTCAAAGATTAGCAGAGATCGTTTCATTTCGTACTACTGTAGACATTGCTCGTATTGAAAAGTAGTTCGTTTGATATTTCGAAAAGGGTCATGGTACGAACGATCGTGACATGAAAGAAAGAGATTCCAGAGTCTTCGTTTTAGTATGCTTGAAGATACATAGGCTACCTTAGTGGTGTAGCATCAAGAAAGGAAAGAAGTGAGAAAGAAAGAACGAAAAGAAAGAAGATTATATACATGTATATATATATATATATAAACTGATAGTAAAAGAGTGAGTGAAAGAGAGAGAGAGACGGAAAAAGAAAGATACATAAATACGTACTTTGAAAATATCGCAAAAAAGATTCGAAGCTTCGTCGTCTTTTCGTAAAGGCAGAAGCCACCGCGATAGGTAAACTATAAAGAGAGAGGGTGAGATTTGATGATGGTTAAAGGGTGAAGTAAAAGGGGTGGTAGAATATTTTGAGGATCGGTGCTGTTTTCTTATAACTCTTTGAGAGAAATACAGAAAGCGAATTCCTTTCTTGGATTCTTCAAGGAGTTGCTCGCGAGACTTTAGATATAGAAAAGAAGCAAAGAACTTTGTTCAACGAAAGAGTTGAATAAAATAGAGAAGAAGAAGAAGAAGAAGAAGAAGAAAAAGAAAAAGAAGAAAATAGAGAAATAGAGTGAGGCAGGTTAAGATAAAAAGAGGTGGATGAAGAAATACGTTGAGAAGAAAAGAAAAAGTACGTAGCAGTGTGAACGTTTCGTTGCAGTGGACGTGACAAGGAAGAAAAATAAGTGGTCCGTCGGCGGATGGAGAGGGGAGGGGGAGGAGAAGGTGGGATTGGGTATGAAATTTCGTGACGATATGATGGCAGAAAGAGGAAACGATTCGCGCGGTACACTTGTCGAGAAAAATATTATTCTTTTCTACGAAATTTATAAAACTACAACGAGAGTTCAGTATCGTGTCATTTTTTGATAAGAACAACGATATTACCTTATAGTTTAAATTTTCTAGCAAAGGGATGCTGTTTGTTTTCGCAGTATAGACTTAATAAATTTAATAGAGTTTCACTGGAGGATCAAAGGAAGAGAGAAGTTTAGAACGTGATCAAAACTCTTCCTTTCTCCCTCGTTCCCCTTCATCACTTCTCTCCTCTTCTCTATCTTTTATATACATATGGAACATGTATTTGGAATATATAAACAAATCTCAAACACGTTCATATTGGAATATTATTCTATTCGTTATTGTGATTTATATGTTGATAATCAAATTGAAATAGAAGATTTTTAATGGGATATTAATCAATAAAGATTATATAAGAAATTTAAATATAAGATGTTAAAATATATCACAGTTCTATATATTTCGATGTAATTATAATTAGTGACAATATTATTGAATTTACTTGAAACGGAATTATCTTCTAGGTACTTGAGGAGTATTAGAACCGATTATCTCTAAGCTTAGTTATAGATCTAGTTAATATGGTTTACATGTGCAGAGGAAATGTTTGTTATGATTTAGATATTACGATGATTTCGATTATTGATTATGTGATCAAAACAAAATCGATTATTCAAAAGATTACTTGTAATTGAAGAAATCGAAGGAATCACTCATAGTCATAGTTTTCTTATTTCAAAATTCACCGCATCTTTTTTGGTTTCAGTGTTTTTCTTTTTTTTCAAATTGAAGATTGTTCACAACGATATTAGAAATATTATTATTTCTTTTAGTCATTATTATTTTTATTCGGTTATTATGACATATAGGACAAAATTGTATAATTTAACATGGGCAAACTATTATACTAAGAAATATTTGACTTTTGTTCCTAAATTTGCTAAGTAAGGATCGCAAGTATGAGGAGTAGCGAAATTGTTAGCATCAACTTTAGCATTATTCCCGACAGTGGAATTTGCCTCAAGGTATAGCGGTTACTTATAAAATTTTCATTTGATCACTGCTAAAGTAGAAACAAGAAATGTGCTTGGAAATTATATCTTGGAAAGAAATTATTACCAATTATTGTAAAAATCATTAATCTTTTTAATAGGACTTTGCTTGTCGTAACTATGCTTTCGTTGTAGAAACAATTGAACCTGGGAATAAATTGTCACTGTATGTAGTGAATAATTATAAAGTTAACATTTTTTTATCGGAGAAATATAACATAGCAATTACAATTTGTCATGTAATGTAAAGTATTGCTGGAAAATAATTATATTTAAACGTGCTGTATATTAATAAAACGTAAAAAAATTGTTTAATTATAGTTGTTGTAAATGTCAAAAAAAAGGGGTTAATCTAAATATTTTAATTTTATTTTACTTAACAGATATAGTTAAAAGCTTTTCCATGTTACTTTTAACACGCGATTTACTCGTAAAAAAATCTCATAAAGTAATATTTTGTTCATAGCATTGATGAAATTTTGATAACAAAATAACTGTAAAAGATATAAGTATAATTTCATAACTAAAATTAATGCGACAACTACATATCTTAGGTTATTAGGATATACCTATGATATAGTATACTTCTTATATATTTATTTACATAAAAGTATATTTATATAGGTTTAGTAATGAACCAAAAATTGGAAAATTTCTCGTTAGTATTCGATGAAGTTGTGGAAAATCTGTTGTAACTCTTTCAGTACGTTTCAGCAATAGTAAGAAGGTGACTGTACCCAAGGGTATGCTTTGAGTGAGGTTCTTGACGTTAAAATAGAGTAGAGGGGAAAGAAAGATAAATGAAGAAAAAATAGAGGAAGAAAAAGCTAGAAAGAATAAGATTCTCTTATTATTAGGAAATAGTATATTATGCAACTAGTGCGGAAAGTTGTCGATTACCCACGAGAGCGAAGTTGTATTCGCTCGAGCGGGCAATCGACAACTGCGCACTAGTTGCATATGCTATTTTACATTACGAATGCGGGGACATATTTGGTACATAATTGGGATCCAGGGGCAGAGCCTCGGCGGGGGGGCTGGGGGGCGGAATCTCCCCCCTCTCCACAAAACAATACTGAAAAAGTTAAAAAATTTTAAGTAAATTTATTTTTTTAACAATCAAACACTAATACAACACATTAATACAAATTGCGAACAATCAAGTTCAAATAAAACAACATTTTTTAATTAGTTTTACTACCGTTTAAATTAATTGTTATGTTCGAACAATTTGAGAACGAAATATTGAGGAAATTTGTTGATGATTGTCCACGAGAGCGAAGTTGAGCGCACGAGCGAAGCGAGCGATAGCGTATTCAAACAGGAAATAAAATAAATGAAGAACTACATATTAATCTTATCGCCTACAATATTGACACTTTGATTGTGTTCTTTTTATCGTCAATTTTCGTGTGGAAAGTATAATTTGGGTGCGACAAGTAAACTTTTCGCACTCAAATTGACATTTATTTTACTCAAAACGCGTGTTGTTATTGTAAAGTAGGTAAACAGCGTATTTCCAACCCCAATAGCGACCGGAAAGATAGTATTTTCCCTGCATAAGTAATGAAAAAAAAAGAAACGTATATATATATAGGTTGACATAATTTTGGAAAAACCATATAGATTAACTTAAGTTAGACCATAAACAAATTTCACTGCTTGGAAGAAGGATTCGTAGGGTAAGAAGGATCGTTAAAAGGGCACACAGCTGTATGCTGTGCTTTATTTCTACAAAGACGAACGCTACTACGTCGTTTATTCTCTACTAAGCTTCAGCATCTGCTTTCTCAGAATGTGCACTTGCCTCGTTAATACCGACATCTTAACCATA